AGAGAGAGAGAGAGAGAGAGAGAGAGAGAGAGAGAGAGAGAGAGAGAGAGAGAGAGAGAGAGAGAGATTATGCCGTCGACTGGTGACGTGTGATACCGTCCGGTGGGAGATTGCAATATTGGCTCCCTTCCGAGTTGCAGCGGTGTGTGCAAATCAGATAAGAGGGCAAGGCTCACAAAGAAAAAAAGAGGAAAAAGAGACAACGGCAAGTCTCAAGACTGATCAACATTGATTGGTCAGTATCACGAAGAGGAAAGCTATTTTTACTATTTAAAGAGAAAAAAAAGCAAGAATACAAACGAATGGAGATCCCGGAATGTTGCCGGTCGGGATCGCCATCCCGGCCCCCTTATCTGTTTTGACTGCTGAACCCACCGGGCTGCTCACTCCTATCCCAGCCCATCGGGATCCCGACCGATCGTCACCCACGCGGTGACACGTGGCGCTTCCATTCCAGTAGCTGACGTGGCAAGAGCTCCTCGTCGTTCGCTACTACAGCAGCGGGAAGCATCTCGACCATCCAGGCGTGACGATAGGTCAACCCCCGGGATCCCAACCCAATCAACATCCAGCATTGAGCCTCCGGGCATCTAGGTTCCTCCACTCATTCCTCCACTCATTCCTCTGTCTCGTTCCTCTCTCTCTTCTCTCTCTCCTCTCTCTCCTCTCTCTCCTCTCTCTCCTCTCTCTCCTCTCTCTCTTCTCTTTCCTCTCTCTCCTGTCTCTCTTCTCCCCTCACGCTATCTCCAATTCCCGCTCTATCATAGTCGGGATCCCGTTGGCTTTGCCGCCAATCCCCACTCTGATGAGGTTGGAAAGACATCATCATCATGATCATCATCATCATCAGCCGCCGGATCAAGATCCACGTGGCGTGTGTGTGTAACAGGTAATCCGCTCGACCGATGATAGGCAGCCTGCCATGAAAAGATCGCGGTGTGGAAGCCCGTATCCCTCTTCGGCACCCCCTTTAAGATCTTGAGGGGGTAAAGAGCTGTCACTTTCGCCATCAGCTTATCCAATAAGCGCGCCGACTCTTCGTCCTCTTCCTCTTCCTCCTCCTCCTCCTCCTCCTTCTCCTCCTCCTCATCATCTTGATCACCTCCTCCTCCTCCTCCTCCTCCTCCTCCAGCAATCTTCTTCCGACAAGCGCGCCGAGTCTTCCACTTCCACTCCTCCGTTGCTCCCACGACGACGACCTTGTCGGGACCCTGTGCGGACAACCATACCGACCCCACCAGACTCGGCGCGCTTATCAGATAGCCAGCCACGTGGGGGGGGCGTTCTGCCATTCCTGCTGTGCAGCATGGCAACCCATCTGCTTCTCCTATCAGATGGCCAGCCACGTGGGGGCGTTCCGGTCGCGATCGCTGCTCAGAACGCTAAAGCGGGTGGCGCCAAGAACGGAGGAGAATGCCGACAAGATAGCGGGACACGTGTTCGAATCTGGGTGCATCTCCCGCGCAATCTGTTGGATTCAGTCCAGGCACAGTTCCTAGCCCAGGTGGTGGTGGAGATCATGAGCCAGGTCGCGATCGCGATACCGACGAGAGCTCAGCCGATCCCAGTCCCGATGAGACGGGAAGTCCCAACAATGCCTGTCCCGACTCCGACCGGACGGACGGCGACCGCGATCCAGGCGGTGATGATTCCGTCGATGCCGATTGCGATCCCGACGCAGCAGGCCGTTTACCCCCCCCTCCCCCCTTTCCCTTCGGTCCGATAGCGCAACTGACGACTGTCCCGACGTAGAAAATGACGCAGCGGCGCCGACTAATCCTTGATCCCGACGTTCCAATCTGATCGCCGATGATGATGATGATAACGATGATGATGATGATGATGATGGGAGGAGGGTAGGGATGAGGATTCGAAGAGAGTTGGCAGCCGTACATCAAGAACCCGATCCCGACATAGGAAGAGAGGGAGTCCGTCTCCTAGCGCAGGGAGTGCCGCCATCAGGCCAGCTCCGGTACAGACAACGACCACGCGGTATCTGTGCCTCTGCCTTTCTTGCCTTCTTGGTTCTTCTTTGGTCACCGTCAGCAGCTCCGTTGGAGAGGACACGTGGCGCTTGCAGAACGCGACACGTGTCCCCGCGGACCCATTCGCAACAGCGTCGGCGGCCGCGTGAATGCAGGCTTGCCAAAGTGCGCGAAGATAGCGCTCTGGGTTTATGAGTCATTCCCTGCGGCACGTAGAGCGCCAGCTTCCCCCGAGGTTCCGCGAGGCTGGGGAGCAGCCTCCGCGCTACGTCGGACTTTATCCAGAGCGCTCCAGTCCCGCTGCTGCCGCTGCTGCTTCTTCTTCCAATCTCGAACCCCACCACCGACTTCATCGCGACACCCTCCCCCCTTCGCCCCCCCCCCTTTCCCCTAGGAGCCCCTCTGGTATTGCCGCTGCGTAGCGCTGGAAATCGGCGCCATGCTTCTCTGATTCTCCGCATCGGAGGATCACTGTCCGTCGCGCCCAAACCCCTCCCCCCCCTTCCTCCCCTCCCCTCCTCCCCTCCCCTCCATCTCCTCCTCCTCCTCCTGCTTCCCCCTCTTTCGCTCTTCCCTTGGATCGTTGATCTGTTCCTGCCCCCGCCGCTGCCGCCGCTCGGCAGCCCACCTTTCCTCTGCTGACTCGGCTCTCAGGCGTCTAATCCCTTCCAGAGCAGCTTCCCCCAAGGAGAGAAAGGGTGCCATAACTCCCCCGACGCCCCTGATGCCCCTCCCCTGATCCCAATCTTGTCAATTAGATCGATCGATATCGGCAATTGCAAGGAAGCGTGCTGGAGCAGATGGCACGTGGAGGCCACGCCAGCAGAGCCGCCGCCCAAAACTGCCACCGGCAGCGTTGGACTGTGGCCAAAACCTCTCCTCCTCCTCCTCTTCCTCCTCCGAGTCGCACAACCTCCTCCTCATCCTCTTCCTCCCTCCGCCACACAAACTCTTCCCCATCGCTCTTAGAGCTACAGCATCTGATTGGCGACGACGTAAAAGCGAAAGAAGAGAAAGGAAGAGGAGACTCTCTCGTCGTCGTCGTCCTCCTCCTCCTCCTTCCCTCGTCTCTTCTTCTTCCTTCTCCTCCTCCTCCTCTTCCTCCTCCTCCTCCTTCCTTCGTCTCTTCTTCTTCCTTCTCCTCCTCCTCCTTCTCCTTCTCCTCCTCTCTCTGTGCAATTTCTTCTTCCTTGTCTGCTTCCTTCCCTCCTCAGACTACCTATCCCAACCTTTCCACCTCCGACAGCAGGCGTTGCAATGACACAGCCACGGCCGTAACGACACGTGTCACACAGACTGACGACGGCAGTAACCCGCCAACGAGCTTGACACGTAAGCAACCCTCTAAGCCTGATCCGAGGGAAGATAACGATGATGACTACTATGGCGATGATGACGATGATGATGATGATGGTGACGTGGCCTTCCATGCGCTGCTTCCAACGATCCTACCACCACTTCTTTTCCCGCCATAATCCGCTCTTTTCCCGCCACAATTGCCTCATTACCCGCCAAAATTGCATCGTTTCCCACCAAAAATTGCCTCGTCTCCCGCCAAAATTGCCTCGTCTCCCACCAAAAATTGCCTCGTCCACCGCCAAAATTGCCTCGTTTCCCGCCAAAATTGCCTCCTTTCCCGCCAAAATTGCCTTGTTTCCCGCCAAAATGAGACCCCCTCCCACCAGCTTCGTTTCCTCGGACCGGTCAAGTTCTTTCTTGAAAAGAAAAAAAAAGGGAAAAAAAAAATACTACAACGTTGGAAGTCGAGAGTAGCGATACCATAGCAGCGCAAAACACGTCCAGATTCAGGCTATTAATCCAAGGAAGGGATTCCCCTGTAGATCAGCAGACGCCTTTCTTTTCTTCTTTTTTTTTCCCTTTTTTTTTTCCTTTTTTTTTCTTTTTTTTGCCTTTTTTTCCTTTTTTCCCCTTTTTTCTCCTTTTTCTTTCTTTTCTTTTC